GCGGACTCTCAACCACTGCGCCACCAGGGAAGCCCTGTTGGAAGATTTTTAATCACAGTTTCAATTTCATTACTTGTGATTGGTGTGTTCATATTTTCTATTTCTTCCTGGTTCAGTCTTGGAAGGTTATACCTTTCTAAGAATTTGTCCATTTCTTCCAGGTTGTCCATTTTATCGGCATAGAGTTGCTTGTGGTAGTCTCTTAGGATGCTTTGTATTTCTGTGGTGTCTGCTGTAACTTCTCCTTTATTTCTAATTTTATTGAGTCCTCTCCCTCTTTTTCTTGATGAGCCTGGCTAATGGTTTATCAATTTTGTTTATCTTCTCAAAGAACCAGCTTTTAGTTTTATTGATATTTGCTATTGTTTTCTTTGTTTCTATTTCACTTATTTCTGCTCTGATCTTTATGATTTCTTTCCTTCTGCTAACTTCGGGTTTTGTTTGTTCTTCTTTCTCTAGTTCCTTTAGGTGTAAGGTTAGATTTTTTATTTGAGATTTTTCTTGTTTCTTGAGGTAGGCTTGTATTGCTATAAACTTCCCTCTTAAAACTGCTTTTGCTGCATCCCATAGGTTTTGGATCGTCATGTTTTCATTGTCATTTGTCTCTAAGTTTCTTTGATTTCCTCTTTGATTTCTTCAGTGATCTCTTGGTTATTTAGTAACATTTTGTTTAGCTTCCATGTGCTTGTGTTTTTTACGTTTTTCTCCCTGTAATTGATTTCTAATCTCATGGCATTGTGGTCAGAAAAGATGCTTGATATTATTTCAATTTTCATAAATTTACTGAGCTTTGATTTGTGACCCAGGATGTGCTCTATCCTGGAGAATGTTCCATGTGCACGTGAGAAGAAAGTGTAATCTGCTGTTTTTGGATGGAATGTCCTGTAAATATCAATTAAATGTATCTGGTCTATTGCGTCATTTAAAGCTTCTGTTTCCTTATTTATTTTCATTTTGGATGATCTGTCCATTGGTGTGAGGTGTTAAAGTCCCCCACTATTACTGTGTTACTGTCGATTTCCTCTTTTATAGCTGTTAGCAGTTGCCTTATGTATTGAGGTGCTCCTATGTTGGGTGCATATACATTTATAATTGTTATATCTTCTTCTTGGATTGATCCCTTGATCATTATGTAGTGTCCTTCCTTGTCTCTTGTAACATTCTTCATTTTAAAGTCTACTTTGTCTGATATGAGTATTGCTACTCCAGCTTTCTTTTGATTTCCATTTGCATGGAATATCTTTTTCCATCCCCTCACTTTCAGTCTGTATGTGTCCCTAGGTCTGAAGTGGGTCTCTTGTAGACAGCATATATATGGGTCTTGTTTTTGTATCCATTGAGCCTGCCTGTGTCTTTTGGTTGGAGCTTTTAATCCATTCACGTTTAAGGTAATTATCGATACCTATGTTCCTATGACCATTTTCTTAATTGTTTTGGGTTTGTTTTTGTAGGTCCTTTTCTTCTCATGTTTCCCACTTAGAGAAGTTCCTTTAGCATTTGTTGTTTGGTTGTGCTGGTTTGGTGGTGCTGAATTCTCTTAGTTTTTGCTTGTCTGTAAAGCTTTTGATTTCTCCATTGAATCTGAATGAGATCCTTGCCATGTACAGTAATCTCGGTTGTAGATTCTTCCATTTCATCACTTTAAATATGTCATGCCACTCCCTTCTGGCTTGTAGACTTTCTGCTGAGAAATCAGCTGTTAACCTTATGGGAGTTCCCTTGTATGTTATTTGTCGTTTTTCCCTTGCTGTTTCAATAATTTTTCTTTGTTTTTAATTTTTGCCAATTTGATTACTATGTGTCTCGGCGTGTTTCTCCTTGGGTTTATCCTGTATGGGGCTCTCTGCGCTTCCTGGACCTGGGTGGCTATTTCCTTTCCCATGCTAGGGAAGTTTTCAACTATAATCTCTTCAAATATTTTCTCGGGTCCTTTCTGTCTCTCTTCTCCTTCTGGGACCCCTATAATGAGAATGTTGTTGTGTTTAATGTTGTCCCAGAGGTCTCTTAGACTATCTTCATTTCTTTTCATTCTTTTTTGTGTATTCTGTTCCGCAGCAGTGAATTCCACCATTCTGCCTTCCAGGTCACTTATCCGTTCTTCTGCCTCAGTTATTCTGCCACTGATTCCTTCTAGTGTATTTTTTATTTCAGTTATTGTATTGTTCATCTCTGTTTGTTTGTTCTTTAATTCTTCTAGGTCTTTGTTAAACATTTCTTGCATCTCCACTTCATTTAGTTGTTTCTCTGGGGTTTTATTTTGTTCCTTCATCTGGTACATAGCCCTCTGCCTTTTCACCTTGTCTATCTTTCTGTGAATGTGGTTTTTGTTCCACAGGCTGCAGGACTGTAGTTCTTCTTGCTTCTGCTGTCTGCCCTCTGGTGGATGAGGCTATCTAAGAGTCTTGTGCAAGTTTCCTCTCAATTCTTAAATATGTTGATAGTTAGAACATTTTGGCATCTTGTAGCTTGGCGTTAAGATGAAGACCCAACTTAATTCATTTCCCAGCCTCATTTCTTAAATGATTTACTCTTTCTTCTACTAGTTTGTGATACTTCTTTATCAAGCTGTTTCTCTTAAAGTGATGTGACTGCTGATTTTTGAACACCTGTTTAAATTATTGCACTGTTGTTATGTGTTAACATATCTGTTAATTCAAGCCCCTCTCAGTTTTCTTTCCTTTCAATATTTTCTTAGCTATTGTACCGTCTAGTGAAATGTATAATCATTTAAAGTTCTACCTCATTCTTTTTTTTTTGGCGGTATGCAGGCCTCTCACTGTTGTGGCCTCTCCCGTTGCGGAGCACAGGCTCTGGACGCGCAGGCTCAGTGGCCATGGCTCATGGGCCCAGCCGCTCCACGGCATGTGGGATCTTCCCGGACTGGGGCACGAACCCGTGTCCCCTGCATCGGCAGGCGGACTCTCAACCACTGCGCCACCAGGGAAGCCCTCTCCCTCATTCTTAATCCTCAAATCTCATAGATATTTTAAAGGAATTACATTGATATTGTAATAATCTGGGAAGAACTGTTCATCCAGGAACACAATACCTGTGTCCATTCACTCAAATCTTTTTTTTCATATTAATATGTTTCAATAAAACTTTATACTTTTCTTGTTTTGTCAGTCTTACACATTTTCTTTTTAGGGTTATATTCTTACATCTCTTAACTGTAAAAATATATAGTGATCTGGTCTCACGGAATTTTCAAAGCTTTCAATTACTTAATACAGAAAAATCAAGAAATGTGTTTGAACGCATAAAAAAAAGTTTTATGTATTATGGAGAGAGAAAGGGAAGGGAAGAAAACGTCAGGAGGGACTTCCCTGGTGGCTCAATGGTTAAGAATCCGCCTGCCAATGCAGGGGACACATGTTCGAGCCCTGGTCCGGGAAGATCCCACATGCCGCGGAGCAGCTAAGCCCTTGTGCCACAACTACTGAGCCTGCACTCTAGAGCCTGTGGGCCACGACTACCTAGCTCGCGTGCCACAACTACTGAAGCCCGCGTGCCTAGAGCCTGTGCTCTGTACCAAGACAAGCCACCACAGTGAGAAGCCCATGGACTGCAACAAAGAGTAGTCCCTGCTCACTGCAACTAGAGAAAGCCTGCGTGCGGCGACGAAGACCCAACGTAGCCAAAAATAAATAAATAAATAAAAATTAAAAAAACTATAAAATATTATTCATGACATTGATAAATTAAAGAAAAGAAAATGTCAGGAAATAAGCTGGGAGAAGACCAACATTTATACTACTACAGGATCTGAAGACGGAGAGACATAAAGAGTAGATGTTAAATTTATGACACTTATCAAAGCCAAGTCAGGAGTTGACTCTGGACCCTGTATCTTGTGCCACTGCATTCTCCATGAAGTGCACATGAACAATAAAATCACAGTTCAAAGTCAACCTGAAGAAAAGCGGAAATGGCTACTTCCCTAAAATCAAGGAAGTGGATACTTTACTCATTGGGAATAACCTGCTAAGAAGAGAAATACTGAAGCTAATTAAACTGAAATAGAACGAAAAATGCTTCGTAAGTTGCCCGGAGACACAGATGGTATCAAAATCCTGCCACCTTGCTTGTATTGCCAGAATTTTGGTGGATTTCTCAACGTGTGGTCTACCATGAAGTTTCTTCAGTCAGACAAAAAACCAGAAAGAAGTGGAACTATACTAAAGATTTCACTGGCAAATTCTGAAATGAAACGGTTGTCTCTGAATCTTCTTAGAATCATTGTTAGTATTAAAGAAAATTACATTACTTACTAGATTTGCTAAATCCAGAAATACACTCTTCCAAAAATTCTAAGGTGAGGTGTGGCTCATTGGCTGCCAGTGTCTTACTAATAGAGACAATAAATAGGGTGTTGTTGGCTGGGATACATAAACCTGATGTCTCTAGTAACTGGCCCTCGATTTTTAAATTAAAGGTACAAGTTAAGGCACACAGAAGATTATAGGCAGCTGACCTAGGAGAAAACACAAATTAAGTTGTTTTAAAACTTATTTTTTCTTATAATTCCAACATTTTTTCATAATATACAACTTACGATTCTATTACCAAGCATAGATCAACTTTTTTTAAATTTTATGATCAATTAGAGATAAGATTTTGTGATTCTATGGTAAACCCCAAATACCCCTTTATCGTTTAGGGATTTTTTTTTAAAAGGGAAATCTTCACATAACCAGAAGACAACTGTGAGGTTCCCGAGACAGCGACTATAAGGCCTTTCTAAAAGACATTTCATTGGGATATAAGATATGAGAATTTTACGGTCTTAAGATGGATCAATATAAAGAAAGTCAGAATAAGGCATATCATATTTTCAGTGAGGCCAAAACTCAAATTGTGGCTCCCGCTCCCACTAGATCCAGTTAAAACTGGGATAATGAGAAATAAGATGGCCCTCATCAAATTAGGTTGTTAAAATCTTTCATCAGCATCTACCGAATTTCTTTCTAGGTGTCCTACAAGTTATACTACAAACTAGAGGTCAAACATTTTTTTAATACAATTAAGTCCCCCCTGCCATTTTTTTCTTTTATGAACTCCTACTATTATACATAAGCACTAAATTAAAAAAAAAAAAAAAACCCAAACCATAATATATATCCAGGTTCCATGAGAACTAAAAGCTCCCTTATAAATGTCTAAAAATATACTTAAACAACTTAGGAAACAGCTCAAAAAACTCAATTTTTAGATTGATTTTTCTCCCCTATCCACAAAAGAAATGGTTTGCTCAGTAAATTTCAGGTTTTCCTTACCTCTGAACTTTCATCATGCTAATATATTTATTCAACAACCATATGGGGGGAAAAAGCCACTGAAATTATAAGTCTGCCTCAAGGCTTTTTCTCTGCGACAACATGCTTCAGCAAAAAGCAGAAGCTGTCAGCTCGCTGTATTTCACAAGAGAACAGAGGTTCATTCAAGCCAATAATTGTTGGAAGTTTGCTAGCATTCTTCTATAAGGAATTTTGAATTAGAAATTCAAGACAGACTTATAGTGCCATTTTCCTAAAATGGAAATATTAACATTATTGTTTCTAAGTTTATCTTTTGCTAACTCCTAGGAATTCTGAGTGATATTATTTTGACAGTGACTTTCACTCTGTATATTTCAACAGCTGCAAAGAACTGGGATTCCTCAAACTGGGAGTAGGTGTCACAGACTCCTCTGAGATAATGAAAGCTAAGCATACATGAAGTTTTGTGTATATTTTCTGGGAGTTCATGAACCCCATGAGGCCCACCCAGGTAAAGAAATCTTGCTGATTTTTTTTCCCTCTCAAATAAGGGAGAATTTGGAATTCTAAAAAGCCCATTTATAAACCTGGGTTATATTATACCCAAGGGAAGATTTTCTGAAGCTAAGAATTTATATCTGTAAAAACTTGACAGTCCCAAGGTACCTGGAACAAAAAATTATCTTAACATGAAAAGGAGAGGGGCAGAAGAGGGAAGTGGTGCAAAGAGACGATGGCAGAGAGAGGAAAGGGTGGGTGCAAGTTGGGAGGAAATAATATTTGCTAAGCACGAACTATTTGCTAGATGCTATACTATACTACCACACATTTATTAAACTCTTCTAGGTTTATGAGGAAGGCAACGTTACCTTTATTTTAAAAATGAGGCAACTAGAGCTCAGAGAACTTCAGTACCTTGCCCAAAGTCATACAGAGAAGCAGATCTAGATTTAAACCTAATCTACTGACTCCACAGGCCCTGGCCTTTCCTCATTCGTGTTTTGATTACTAAGCCTAACCAGAACCAATTATACTCTGCTCATCTGACATCTGTATTTGTCTTAAGCTTTCTTTCAAGAATTTTGTTAAAGTTACACAGGTGGAAACTATGCTATGTTACTGAGTTACTGAACATTAAGCCCTCCTTTTCTTTTCTTTTCTTTTTTTTTTTTCATTTAAAATGCTAAAGTTATAAGCCCTCCTTTTCAAACAATGATAATCTAATTTGACTGCGAGGAAACTTAATAGTGATGTACTTTCGAACGTGGGAAAAATTTAGAGAACTCAGAAAAGGAGAAACTTAATTTAGAAATAGACTTTTAGGGAAAAAAAAAGACTTTTTTTTTAAAAAAAACAAATGAACAAAAAAAAAACCCCACCAAAACTGCTATGCTGTATGTTTCAGCTACAAGTTGAAAGAACATACATTGGTTTAGCGTGAATCACCCTATTCACAATTCCACAGTTCATGCGAACTGCATGAGGTCATACTGGTTAACCAATATAGAATACCTGCCAATTTACAGTATTAAGGTAGAAGCTGCTTTAAAAGTTTATTAATTGGTCTCATTTTAAAACCAACAAACCTTGAATAAGATTGAAATGAGTTTTTTATAAACCTACCGTAAACTAGGGTCTGAACTGCCTAAATTAAGTAATGCGATATTGAGCAGTGTCCCAGGGACATCTTTTGGGCGAATCTTGGTGTGCTGGGGGATGGAGTCAGGCTGCGACAGCTCCCAACGTGTCCGGATGTGAATGATAGACTGAACAATGGCTTCACACTCCTGGTGCATGAAGGTCAGTGGTGTGCCCTGGTTTGCAATAGTTAAGGTGAACTGGTTCTCATCCACTAGGCAGATCTCTTCAATTTCCGAAGCATAATAGATATCATTTAGAAAGACTGACTGCCCCAGGACTTTTGTTCGCTCTGCTGAGGTTACTTGAACAGCAGTAGAACCAACCTGAAAAATGGTAGCAAGAGGGTAGAGTGGAAAAGAATTAAATTTCATTACGTAGAATTCTGAGAGGTTTCGAAAACCAACCAAACAAAATACCATGATAACCATTTAAAGAAGAGTTACCACCGTTATGTATTCAAATAGGTTCAATAATTATTGTCATAAATGCTGTCAAAAGAGACTGAAAACAGCAGAAAAAAGTTATTTTTTAAAAGGTCAAGAATCCTATGGATAATTACAGGTTTTATCCTGAAGGTTCACCTTCCTTACTCTGCAAAAAGCATGTAATCATCAGAAGAACTCTCAATAGGTAATTTTCCACTGTTCACATATTCCTACTGTAAGATGGATACACAGCAAACTGCCCATTCTACAACACTCTCCTGCCTCCAATCCAACCTGGAATATTATTAAGGGTACACCTCTCCAGTTTTCTGCAGGACCCCCATGAAGATACAGAAAGCTTGGTTTTCCTCCATCTGGACTTTACGTTTGATACATTACTACCGGGACCCTGGGGAGTCCAGTATACAGTCAGGTTAGTCAAGAAAGGCAATGAATCACTTACCTAACAGGGAGTGAAACTTACTTTAATAGAAACCTTTGTGTCTTTGTGAGCTAGCTTGAGAGCATTGTGGAATACCTTCAGGTCCTCTTCTAAAGCCAAGGTGGCAGCGGGTAGTTTCTGCTGTTCATGCTCAATGTGCTCGGCCAGTTTCCCAGGACAGTCTATGAAAATGAGTCTTTTGCTGCCTTTGAGGCCAGTCAGCAGCCGCTCGTGATACTTGGTATATTCCCTGACCCAGGAGTTACAGTTATAGATATAGACTGCAGAGACATTATCATAAGCAAAGCCAGGAAAAACAACAAACCACTTGGAGAGGAAGTCTGTTTTAAAGCGATTGCTAGGCCCAGTATGGGTAAGGTCCACTACAATTTCGTATGGCTTTGCATAATATGGCTTTAAAGTAAGTAAGACGTGGTATATCAGCAAATCGCCATTGATTTGACCAGTTTTGAACCTAAGGAAGATGAAAAAAAGTACACAGATCATTAACAAGGTTGTGAATGGATATACAGATGCTACTAATCTATCTTATTCCCTTATATTCTGACTAGTTTTCTAGAGAAAACTAACTATAATATTAAACAATTACACAAAGTCTGAATCCATTTTTTAAATCACTTGTTCTTAAGACACTGAGAAGTAAGGCTGAAGTAAAATGGAAGAGACAAATCCCCAGATCAATAACTCTGAGTAACAATAACAACAACAAACCTGCCCACCATAGTCAAGCAAGGAGGAAGTCAATGGACATTGGCTGATTGCTTCTAGGCCCATCCAAGTTCCCAGGTGAACAGTTTGGGTGGGAATGACCTACTTGGAGTCCTGGAGTAAACTGAATGACTTATAGTCAATTCATTTATCCCACCGTGACCAGAGAGAATGGTTCAACAATGAGCACATGACGCAAAGCAGAACAACCAGGGCCAAAGAGGCCCAATTCAAAGACTTCAGCTTAAACTGTTGGGAATCGAGACCTTTTTCTTTCCTGATGTTTATAAATAAGGGACCATATAGCTCTGGCAGCTGTTAGCTTATATCTTGAGATATGAAGGAAGAGCCTGTCTAAAAACTGAAGAAATGGAGCAGAGAAATGAAGAGCCAAACTGGGGCCCTGGCCATTTCATCTGAGCCCTAGATAAAGCCCCTCTCCTGGGATCACATTTATCCCTGTACTACTCAGTTGTGTGAGCCAATAAATCCCACTTTTTGATTAAGCTGTATTAGGTCATATGTTGCTTACACTCAAAAGAATGCTAATCAATGTGAGGAGTCAAAACAAGGACCATCAGAAAGCCCACAAATTACAGTATGGGAATTTCAAATCAAAACAACCAGTGCTCTATACTTGATGACTCAGGTGGTACTACGAAGTAGGCTAAGATAAATATCCTTTCCTAAGAGTTTTAAATCTTACTGGGAGAAAATAAGACAAAACTATGACAAGTCAAATGATTTTAAAATAGAAGAAAAATATTTCAAGAACAAAGAAATGAGGTAGTATGTAATCACTTGTCAAAGAAATTGCAGAGAAAAATACTTTTGTTAAGTTCAAAAGAGTGGAGAAATCAACAGAAACTGGGTAACCAGTGAAAACTACATAAAAGATGCTGAAGCGGGCAGGAGGAATTTCAAACTCAACAAGAAGAGGGATTGGCAGGCCTCATGGAGAGAGGAAAAGGAGAAAAATAGGTAACTAGATGTGTTGAGGTAAGAATCAGCTAGTTTAGCTAGAATGGAAGATTCACGTAGAGAAGTTTTAAGAGATAAAGACAGAAAAATACAGAGTAGCTAAATTGTGAATGAACCAGAACTGTTCAACTAAGGGGCTCAGGTTTTCTCCTAGGAGCCTGGCATTTCTCAGAGGATGTTCTGTGAAGCACCAGCATCAGAATCAACTGTGGTGCTTGATAAAAATGCAGTTTCCTGTCCCAGCCCAGACCTACTATATACGAATCTATGCAGTGGAGCCTGGGAATTTTCACTGTTTTGAAACAACCTTCTCATCTGATATTTATGTGCACAAACATTTTTGAATTGCTGCTGTAGGTGTTAGGGAGTTATTCAACCACATTTTTTAAAAGAAAGGGGTGTTATGATCACAGGAAGTGATATATACAACATATATGAAGGAGTCGGGGCTAGTAAAGAAAGATGTTGTAGTAGTCTAGGTATGGTTTAATAAGCATCTAAAATACTAGGATAACGGTGAAAATAAGTGACAGTGAAAGAAGAAACTGACTCAAAAATATGAAGAAAGGACCGACATGATCCAAGGTCTGATCAGGGCTGAAAGAAAGGACTTGAATTAAAAGGACTTGCTGTATATCAAGGCTCTGTCATTACAAAGAATGTTGCTACCATGAACAAAAACAGAGATCATGAGGGGCAGCCACTTAGGGGGAAAAATGAAGTCCATTTTAGACTGAATATGAAGTGATGACAGGACATTCTAGGGGAGTGTGTGTGTGTGTGTGTGTGTGTGTGTGTGCGCGCGCGTGTATACACTAAACCACACAAAAGCATTTTCTGTCCCTTATAATCTAAGTGTATCAGATATTCTCTCCAAATTATTGTTGCAGTTCCACACTTTGAGATGTTGGTAATATACATTACTGTTCCTATTATCTGACCAATACCCCGGGTCTCCAAACTCATGTTATCAAATCAGTCTGTGGTATACAAATACAATTTTTAGAGAAGATTTTAATGCTCAATCTCAGGGAAAATGCTATCTTCTCTTCATTTTAATGATACTAACATATCATTCAAGAGCATACAGCAGGCATACATAATAAATGTAAGGTCAAAAGGCATTAAGCAGAAAACCCTCCCTGCCCTGGAGGCGGGGATTTGTTCTACAAAGCCTCCTGTTATGCCAGTGGCCAACTAGACAAGTTGGATTTTTTTTCTTTTTTTCCCCCAGTGACATGTGCTTTAGTTGCAGTGGAAAGGAAATGTGTCATCTGTGGTTAGTGGAAAGCTAGCTGTACATATCCTTTTTTACTGCAGATTTACTTTTAGGCTCAGATTCTTCAAGTCTATTCTGCCTTAAATTACTTGGAAGCTGTGCTTCAAGACAAGAAAAGAAGTGGCTTATTAAAATCAGGTTATAATAAGATTTTGACCAAGCATTTTGTAAGGTAGGTCATATATATGGCTTTTCTTATGCCTTTTCACTTACAACTTCATACAGATTAGTGTTTGAGGAAGTGCTTTCAAACAGTACTTAAGTATCTTACTAACAAAGTAGATTTAGTAATGGAAAATGTATGCTGTTTTTTTCTCTCCTATTGAGTAAAATTTAAGTAAGAAATGGAAAGATTTACCATCAACATAGAGCTTTAAATTAGGATTAAGAAGAATCTGAGCTTAGACTCCAGAGTGAATTGCACAGTTTTATTTGTTATTAAAATAAGTTTAAAAAATAAATTTCTCATTACTAATGCTTAGGCATTATAAATTTTATTGAAAATGACCAGAGATAAAGAAAACTTTTGATAACAACCTGGTCTCCACTGCATAAATCTGGGATGTAGAGACAGCTCTCTATTCTTAGGCATTTGTAAGGGTAAGAGAAAGTCTCATTTTGTTAACAGTTTGTTTATTTGGAGATGACAGTACATCTGGCTGAAGACAATCAACAGCGGGCCTATTATCTATCCCATGGTGAGCACTGTTAAAATGTGTACGAATACTAGGATGCATATTACATTGTTAATGAACTAATGTGACAAGAATAATAACCCGCTTTAAATCATTTTAGCATCTAATGCAGAAGTCCAGTCTAGTTTAAAAGGATGGAAATTACTTGCGAACCCAATTTAAAGTATTTCTCTTTGGGGAAGAATCATAAAGTATCCAAAGATTTATGTCATTCAACTTAAAAATTGGAGCTGGACACTACCAGATAGGAGTCAGTGCACAATATCTTTAACTGTCCATTAAAGATCATAATCCAAAAAGTAATCTTACTTCTAGAACACACAAGAAAGGTTTCTTTCCCTCCCTATGATCAATAGAAAATATTACTTCAGAGGTTAGTTTCCACTTAGCATTGTTTACTCTATGCTAATTTTGTTTGTATAACAATACATCACATTTGTTATTCTTAAGTCAACTATACGTCAATAAAGAAAAGAAGAAGAAGCAGCATGAGTAGCAGCAGGATCTGTGTCACCTGAGTGTGGGTTAGGAATCTTAGGTCCCTCTTAGACCTATGGAATAAATCTGCATTAAAAAACAACAACAACAACAAACTCCCATGTACATTTTTTGAGAAGAACTTATATAAAATAAAGTTCTTAAACAGGCAATTTTATTTAGTACATCTCAGGAGAATAATCTAGTTTCTGCTTCTACTTCCCTATTCATATAAATGCTAACAATAAAATACTCTTACGAAAGTGGCTCGGACTGGAATACTATTTTGAGAGATAGCTCAATAATGGTAATAAATCTTTCCTGCTTGCTTACCAGTACCTGGAACAGATATGCTAGTTGTATTTGAATCTTCAATCTTACAGTGAATAATGAAAATCAGGATCAGACTTTGTCCCCTTTGTGGACTGGCTTCCAGAGAGCTCAGAGCCAAAACTGAAATTCCACTTTTTCCTTTATAGGTTGAGACTCATGATCTGCCTTGACTTCCCAACTGAGTCAAAATCCCCATGATCCTGATGTTGTATTTATTTCTATTAAATATTTTATTGTATAATTTATTTTTAAAAATTATGTCAAAATATTCACAGAAAAATTCTAAGCATAAATAATAATGAAAAAAGTCAATAATTTTTGTTGAACTTTTGAGATTATTCAAAAGAAACTTGCCTCTTTTTCTCTGTTAATGCCAAATGTTTAGGATGAGAAAAGTCGCATGCCTTTGCTTTCAGAAAACCACAGTAAGTCAGGGGATATAGAGGTGAAGGGAGACCCACCACCATAAAACTGCTTTCACAACTACTAGGAATATATTTCTAAGTACCAGCTTTATTCTAAGCTTCAAGATAAACACCCAAGAAGAAAGAAAAAAGAACATCTTGAATTCCTACTTGAAGTCCGTTTTCTTTTGGTTGCTACCACACTTCCCCGTTCCTGAACTGCCCCCCCCCATCACCACAAAGCCATTTGCGTTTTCTTTTCATACATGAAGCAAAATGTCCCATTTCTCCTTTACTATAAAGATTGGTGACTCATCTGTTAGAGGATGGGGAGTTTCTACAAGGAGTTTCCTTAAATGGTCAGGAAAAAAAAAAGGAGGAATCAAAAAAGTAAAAGCCGAAGTATCTGACTCAAAGCTAAAGTCTAGAATGCTTAAGAGGGAGAAAACTATAAAACCATGGTATTCAGTTTACAATGATTAGTAGATATCTGTAATGCTACCTTTTAGCATTTAAAGAATTAATAGAAATTAAATTGTTTCTTTATATGTAGCCTAACAGAAAAAAAAAAATCAGT